CGCCTCCCGTTCCCTCCTTTTTCTTCCTTTTTTTCCGGAATTTGAGTCAATAAAAAATTGCTTGGAACAAAGAAACGAACGGCCGCCAATTTCTCACCGGATAATGCCCGGGCCCATTGGCCCTGGGGAGAAGGCTAATCACGACTGGGCATCTCGACTTCTGTTAGGTGTTAAAAATGGACACCGCGGGGCCCTGCGTTCTTTATCTCGCGACCGAACCATGCAGATCCCCCGATCTGCTCGCCTCGAGACGTTAAATATTAAAATTTGGAAACGTTACACCCGGTTGTGCCCACCTGAGATTCTTGCTCTCAGGCAGAAATAGAGAGGCAGTTGTGATGAAATATCAGGAGAATGGCGTGCATCAATTTTTATTTATGTTACGAGACAGTTCATGATAAATCTGAAAATATCTATCCGTTGTGCACTATAAATCATCACCTCGACTATTCCCCGAAAAGTTGATTCATCAGTTTTGTTAGATCTCGTTTTGCTTTTTTACATATCCAGTCGATTTCTTCATTCTCGACGAATGCGCGAGATCACATTTCCAGTTGAGAGTTCTCTAATGACATGAGTGCATTCACCGCGGTATATATCGTTCGCGATTATGATGAGCCGATAGGGAATCGGCGATTTATCACGGAGATACACCCGAACTCGGCTTTCTCTCAGAATTCTTCCCGATTAGGTACATTGACCACTTGATGAATCGTCCGTTGCTCGATTTGAAATCCCCGACAGGCGTTCCTTGCGAACGGCAACTTACTTCCGTTGACGATTCCGGCTTGGACGACGAGCCTAACCACGTATGTAGTTAGGCACGCGTAACGCGAGGCTCTGAACGCGCCCGTGTTTCGTTACACGACGACGAAGCGCTCGAAATTCGATTCTGGCGAGAAACAAGAAAGCCGAAGCCATTTGGCTTGCCGGTAATCTCACTTTCGTGTTTGGAATACCGAATTTACGTAACGCGGTACATCATGCGCGCGGAAGGATCGTATTGAAAATCACGCGATTGAATAATATTTCATCGATTATTATTTTATTATTTATTTTATTATTTATTTCATTATATTTCTTTTTCTTTCTCTCTTTCTCTCTCTCTCCTCTTTTTCTCTCTATACGATTCGAATTTTGCGGTTTTCTTACATACACTTTGAGATGCTGTCGTTCTTTGATCTGTTCTTAATGTTCTCACGCGGAAATTCGAGAACAGCCATGGCGGAAGAGCAGCTTTCGCAGGAAACCAGCGACAACGATTACTTAGAAAGGAGTATCCTCGTGTTTCGGTTTTCCTCTTTGGAAATGCAGCTACCTTTTGCTGTATCCCTTCCGATTCTCCCCCGAAGAGCGAACTACCCGTTCGCGCGGGGTTGAGAGAGATGAAATAAGAAGAAGAGAGTGCAACCCCCGAAGGCGCGCCTAACCCCTGCGGGTCATGGAGAGAACGGTATTTTACCGACTATTAACTCGCCTTTACCCCTGTTTCTTACCCTCGCGGTCTGGCTAAGGGATGCGGAAGGGAAGGGAAGGGAACGGAGAGTCCGCAGGCGCCGACGAGATAGAAACGAAATTGGAAAAGGTGCACGCGGAATCCCTTCGCGCGTGTATTTCTTTCCCTACTCGAGGTTCCTTGCGTAATCTCTCGTTTTTTTTTCTCGCGCTATTTTTACCCTCCCCCTTCTGCGATATTTCTCTTTCCGTTTTTTTCGGGCTTTCCGAGATGGACGCGTGCAGGTAGCGGGCCGGGTACCTGCGCGACTCCTCGAAGAGGGACAAGAAGAGAAAAGAGAAAAAACGCTAGATCTCTCCGGGGGTCACGCTCGATTTAATCCCTGAGAAAAATCGCGCGATTCCCCTCGCCTGGCGGAGTCGTCGCAGTCGATTTCGGGGGTTAACCGATTTCCCTGCGAAATTTGAAATCTGAGAGCGTTTTTTCTTACCGTTTCCCGATTTGACCTGAGCGCGATACACCCGTTTAAAGGCTTAAGTATCTCGTAAAAATGGGCTCGAGGATACGAGACGAAGTCTTGCCCCCCCTTTCCTCTTTCTTTTTTTCTTTCGCGCGACTTCCGAGGTTAGAGGGTCGAATGTCAGTCACCGTCTCTAATTTGAACACCGAGCGTATATATACGAATAATCTCATCCAGTTTGTTATTCAATCTCTATAAACGAAGATTTTGACAAGTATACATTTAACTTTATTACATTATGGTAATTCGAACTTCTGAAATCAGAAGAGTGGAACTTGTTTTGTAAAAGTGACATTCAATTCCACAATTCAAATAACTTGGATTTGTCGCTTTTAAATGAATTTGTCTTATAAAAGAAATTTTTTTACATAATTGATTCTCTCTCTTTTTCTCTATCTCTCTATTTCTTTTGCTTTTATTTCACGAACTTTAATATCTGGATTTTCTCACGAGTAATAGATTTATTTTCATTCCTGTACCGCAACACGTTATGTTTCGCACGGTGTTTTATAAACGAGGAATCTTAGAAAGATGACTCGCTGTAACATGTTTTTTACTGCGATTGTGTATCGATGGAGCATGACTCGCCGTTATATGAGACGATTTGGAGCAAAGACGAAAGGGAGAACGTCTCCGGAGGAAGAGAAACATAGAATCCCCGCGGTGCGGTATCTTCTCCAGACTGGGCCTTAAAAATCGAGTCAATTTAAGGACTTGGCCGCGAGCGAGATACAGAGAACCGCGTATATGCATGCGATTCTTCAGAAATCTCCCTCACAAGGATGAGAATTCATTTAATATACTGGAACGAGCGTCGAATCTTTTTGCGCTATTTACGACGACCCTCCTGCGTTATACATTTTTATTAATTATAATCCCTTATTAATCATATGAAGCACAAAATTCTACATTTAATCACGATACTCAAAAGGTATGGAATCGAAATCGTGCCTCGACGAATCTGAAAACTAAAAATGTTGCCAATATATATTGCGCGACAAATATTTTCCCACAATATACAATCGATTTTTTGTTTCTTCGGGGGAGTCCGTATTACGATGGATAGTCATTTTTCATCGATTGACGAAAATCGCGTCGATGGTAAGCGAACCATCCATCGTGATATAGGACACTCCATTCGTTTAATGAAAAAAAAAAGGTGGAGAGCGCGTGAAAGAGTAAAAGAAAGATTCAACCACGAAAAACGAGGAAGAATAAAATTGAAAAAAAGAGATCCAAGGGGTTTCATAATTTTAGTAGACGTCATCGATCTAACCTTCGGGAAAGGCGTTCCAGGGGGGTCCCGGAGTTTCTTTTTCAATAAAGGGATCTTTAAGCCCTTTCCCGAATCTAAGTCTACTCCTATCGTGCTCTTCTCTCGTTTTCCTCATTCCTCATCTATTCTCAAAGCTTACTTGCGCGAATAAAACGCGTCTATCTACCTGGTGTCCGCGGATTATATCCGCAGGGTAGAAATCCACTGAAACTTTACCTGTATCATCGACGAGTTGTTTGCGCGATTAGAACTTCATTTTTTATAACGGTTCATATATTTTTTAAAAACTAAAATTTTTTAAATATTTTTTAGAGAATCTTATATTTTTTGATAATATTTTACTTCTGTGGAAAGCAACTTATTAGTTTATTATAATTATCGCGCGCGGCTCAAGAAATTTTAATAAACTAAACTTGTTAAAAAATATGATATATACTTCATATGTATGATAAGATCTATTTTATTAAAAATTATCAAAAAGATTGATTAATAAACAAAAGCTATTTGATAGGATATCGAGTAGTATTACAAACTTTTATATATATATGCGTTTCCCCATATATAGAATACTTCAGAGCAGATGTACCTGCCAGCAGTCGATTACGCGGCTTTTAGAATTGAGACGTCTCAATTTCACGACTTCGAACTCAAGAAAAAACTTCCCCCGTGGTCTCTCTCTTTTACTGCTCTAGACCAACCGCATATCCCCGTGGATTCACCGCCTCTTCCCAACTTGTTATAGCTTTAGACCAATCCGGAAGCATATTACCCCTCTGTAAAGTTTTTTTGAAATTACGAAAGAACGAAAGAAAGTAATTGCGAGTATCAGTCTCGCCAGAATGCTGGCGAAGATCAGAACTCTAGAATATTTGGAAATTTTTAAATAGGTATGTAATATAGGATTTAAATTATTCGAGGCAGTGCCGAATCAATATTCTTTTATTTCATTCAACTCATTCTGTTTTTATTAATTGAAAAAATACACTCACTGAACAACAACCTCTCTAGATATATTAAAATAGAATAATTGAAATAGAATAATTAAAAATGGTAATTCAATTTAGTAATCGTGAATTGGTCCGAATGGATCATTTCCGGCCGATAGCTTACATTTTATAACGCTTCTTATCGAGACTTGAGCATTTCTAGAGCGCAAAGTTTTCGCGTTCATTTAATTTAAAAGACTTATACGAGTCTCCTTTTATCAAGCATAGATATGCACAAATTTTACTTGCTATTGCAGCGAGTTGTTATTTAATAAATAACACATGTCCGTAAGTTTTAATTGTTTTTACTCGATTCGCTTTGCGGTTTGCTTAGAAGTCGGCTTGTTTAGAAAACGCATTTATTAAAATTGGCTCCGATAAGAAGTCAAAGTTAAATATTTTATGGATCGCTCGAGATATTCCGCGGCTCTTGTTAAGCCTCACGGAGAATCGTAAATACGTCAATAACGTTGATACGTCAATATTCAGATAGCTCTTTTCCCCACTTCTCAGTTAGCTCCAATAATACATATTACGCACCTTGGATTTCTCGAGAAAAAAGTCATTTATCATTATTGATATCGAAAACGGCTTCGTCATTGATTGCGAAACCATTAAATCTATATACCAACTTTACGTTTCGTAAATTATTTTATTGTATATGTATATAATTTATTGTATTTTGAATATTTAAAAAAATTGTTTGTTATGTTTAATATGTTTTGATAGACAACGTTAAAATTTCTTTCCTTTTTCTCACAGGAAAAATGAAGGTAAAAGAGGAGAAGGACGCCTCGTCGATGGCGCCAGGAAGTCCACCCACGCCTCCGCATACCCCGCAAAGTCCGCAACGTGCAATTCCGTCTCTTGGTAATCTGTCGCAATCCTGTCAGACATCAAACGCAAACTCTCCGAATCTGCAGCAGCAGCAGCAACAACAACAACAGCAGCAACAGCAACAGCATCAATCGCAACAGCATCAATCGCAGGAACAACAGCAGCAACATCCCGTACATGCCATGTCTAATTCACCGTTAAGTCAAATACTGGTGCAAAATCCGGCATTGGCGCAACTACTGCAACAAAATCCAGCAATTTTGTCGCAGAATCCGCAGCTGGCGCAGATGCTGCAGCAGAATCTGCAGGCTCAGATGGGTAGCGTACTCTTTCAAAATGTGAGGCGGGAAGAGTCCGAGGATTCCAGTCCGAGGGTAAGTCTTTTCTTTGAAACCTAATAATTATTTTAATCTGATTCCATCCCAAAGTTCATTACACTTTAGCCGAGGTTATGGACTTGAACCTCAACTTCTTGCGAAAGTGTCATTTAAGATCTGAAACAGCAATTTTTACAATCGTTCACAAATTCTAAAGATCATTATTACGAGGAATTCGACAAAGACGCAAATGTGGACAATTATTGAACGTATTGAAGATTTCAAGTAGTTGAATTGTGTTGAATCGTCGCGAGATATTTCGTCAAAAGCCAGACAATCGCGGGCTATCCAAAAACAATACTCGCGGTGACTCAACCGACTCGAGTCATAAAGTTACTAACGGGAGCTGTGTGAGTTTAAGTGTGCTAGAATAATTCAGCGCTTCCTAGAATTGTAAGCGCGAACAATCGGTTATGATACGTCGTAATAAAAGTCGATATAGACTTCGCCTGGTGATGATTTCGCTTGTTGAATACCTTCGAGTTTTCTGTTATTTATCCAACTATTTATTTCTACAACTCGCTGGCTCAAAAAATTCCGTATTCTTGGTAAATATAAAAATTGCAAAATATTTTACAATAAAATCATTACGTACTTCTTCTATAAGCACATTTGACACTCAATTCGAAGACATTTTATCAAATTCCTTTTCTCGTAAGACGTAAGACAGAAAAATATATTTGTTATTGAAATTAAGGCAAACAGGTTTTGACGATGTAAAATTCAATATTATTGCATTATCATTAAGTTATGATCAACGATGTGATTTCGCGGTACAAATGCTAGAATACCAAAGAGGAGAGACACGAAACCGCGCGTGCAGACGATCCAGCTATGGGATCGCTGCTGTGGAATCCCATACAGGGAGAATTGAAATTATTCCCCCGATTTTTGTCGTGTCGTTTACATTATTTTCGCCTTTGAATATTAATGGGCATATGCTCTCCGGCGTTATGGCACAAGAAGTAACAACGGCGTATAATACTCGAGTCTTAACGTTATTCTATTGTTTGCAAATCAGCTCTATTGTTTTCTCATATACCTCTGTACTCTCTCGCATACCCTCTCTTTGCCTCTCTCCTTACTTCTACCCTTCCTCGTCTTCCTCCTTCTTCTCCTTCTCCACCTTTTCCTTCATCGGCGTGTCCCCGTCTTTCTCTTCCCCTTTTATCATCGTCTTTCTTTCTCTTATCGTTACCCTCTCCTATACTCTCCTCTTCTCTCTATCTCTCTTCTTCGATTCTCTTCTTCCTTCTCGTCACCACTCTTCTCGCCCCACCCCTGTCCCATTCCGATCTTTTTCTCTTTCTTTGCCCTCTTCGCGTTTCCCCCTCCGTGCCTTGGTGCACACGTCCGCATTATATACATCGTGATGCACATTATTTTCCATTTGTTTCCTCGCGTCCGCGTTTTCTCCTTGCGAATTTTTTCGTCCGCGATAAGTACATTAATTTAGAATGTATATCGCGACTATAAACGTATCTTGTTCTTCATTCCACTCTTCTCTCCTCAGAATCACGATGGGGCATGCGAAAAGATTTTCCCAACCATCCTCTCTACGTTCCCTCGACGTTATTATGCGCGATACGCTGCAATCCGTAATATTAGGCACGGAAGGTCGCCGATAATTATGAACGAGGAATATAAATGTTCGATTAGAGATTGCAGAATTGATGGAACGCAATGGTCACGTACGTGAGGCGAGTTCTATTAGATTCGATGGAATTAATCGATTGTTCCGGTGCGCGTTCGATCGGGCGCACGAGAGGTTGCATCTTGTTAGGAGTGAAGTTCACAGATCGGTACGAAGAATCTCGTCGAACGATAATGCATTGACGCGTCACAGCGTAATAGAATACGTTTATGCAGTAATTATATACGAAAAGTAATTCGAAACTTTCAATAAATTTACGCGCCGAGATAAAATTTCTTCAAGTTTTAATAACAAGTTATTTTATTCGCTCTATTTAATTCAAAGAGTAAATCAAATCGTGAATAATTTTCAAGACAAACGGAAAGCTCAACGCCGATGAAAGAAGAGGGAACGACAGCGGTAGATGGATGACGATGTAGTAACCGGTTCGTAAATTCAACGACATCGTTGGATCAGATCTTAGCTAAGGCTTCAGAAATCGTAGAGTATTCGAATAATTTGAACCGCGATGGGGCTTCCGACAAGTGTCTTCGTCCGATCTCTCTCCCTCCAAGATAGTGTCTTTTCTTAGGACTCCTGATTTTAATTTTAGTATTTGCTCGATTATTCGATAAATGTAACATCGTTTCGTAAATGAAAGAATGGAATATGCAGCGCGTCGATATATAAAAGTTAGTTACTCAAAATTGAAATACCGTGGCAGATATGCCCGTAGGTAATTTCATTACTTGGTAGCAGTAGGGTTAACGAAGGATATTAAACGGCCATTACGAGCGAGCCTAAGGCAATAACGCGATTAGTTCGCGGAATAGCCGGTCTTTTGTACAATAGATTTTACGGAAACATCTCGCGTCTACCGCGTGGGCGGCAGGGTCTCCCTTTCGCTTCGTCCCCTTCGTTCGCGTACGGCCCTGGGCACGCCGGTGCATTGTACATCGTAATGTATTTCTTTTAGGTACCGCCGACAATAGCGAGCCTGGCGGCGATGAAGGTGGAGGCAGCTGACCCGAAGGTTTCCGGTGAGTTACTATTTCCTCCTGCTGACGGAATTATCGGGATCGTAATTAGATTCGAATCGAGACTGCCGCGTTCGATGACCCTGCTTGCGCGAACAAAAGGAAGGTGAAAAAAAAAACAACGAAGCGGAAAAAGACTCGACAGTGGCGGATGCGAAATCGTCGTCGACGTTCGCCGCCGCGATCTGGTTAGTCCAGGTGATTTGTAATCGACAGCTTTAATCGTTGAACGAATCTATGATTAGAACAGAGACAATGTTGCCGATCGAACGCACGACGACGCCTGACCTTTAACGGCGTCGGGATAGAAATAATTGGTATGCGTTCGCGTTCACGTTCGCGTACGCCAGAAGTCTGGCCGCATGTATTCCGGCTGCGGAAGCGATCGGATGTGTGCGACGAATTGAACATTCGTTTGCAAAAAATTCAAGTCAAACTTGAAAGTTTTATCAGCAGCGATTTCGTTTCTTCTCGTATATCCTCGATGCAAAAATTATCTTTGCTATGAAATGTTTCCACTCAAGAGAAAATCCATTTCCGTTTCTCCTTCAAAGCGGATTTCCCAACGAGAATTAATAATCGCGACCGCTACGCGTGGAGAACAAGCCTGGAGAAATCGCGCATCCAGCGTGCACCAAGCACAGTGGGCCCGCATCTTTGAGTAATTATCGCGCATTCCTGCATGCCACGTGACAAATCTGAAGCTATACGTAAGCCGGCTCTCGAGTGCCGTCGGCTCTCCCTGCAGCCTTTATTTGTCTCGATCCTCGCGAACCCGTGAATCGTGGCGCAACCTGACGAATCGCGACCGTCCGTCGCTTTCAGTGTTTTGTACCCAGGGGCTGTTCCCCCTTTATTGGAATATCCGCCCACAGCATTATGGGAATTATCAAGGAAATGGGATGAGTGCCAACGCGGCTCCCACGAGGGGCTCGAGGGGGGGTTGCTTCGACCGCCAGTGATAAAAGAAACCCAGGATTTATCAATCTCTCTATATTTTTTCCCATACTTCTTTGAAAACTTACTTTGTGTACTCTGAATACTTCGAAATACGTAAACGCGCAATATATACCTAAATGTATATCTAAATACTTAAAGAAAAAAATCAAAGCTTTGTAGCAAGTTTTGATTTCATTAATTACTGTAAAGACTGTTTCTGTGATTAATATCCCGTGATACAGGATATTTTTAAATTAATCATTATTATGATGAAATCGGAAATCCATGATTGCGTGGAAATATTGCTCGCTGCATGCGGTAATGGATGGAGCTCTGTATTACATAAAGATGCCGATGTTTCTCCGAGGCACCATTAAGATCAATCGTTGCTCTCCCCGCCGTCATTTCACTATCGGCACGCGAACTATCATTTTTCTCGAAAAACGTTTGCAAATTATTCGTAATTTGCGGTTTGTCGCACAATTCTCGCTCGTCGAAACCGCGAAAAGATACTGCGACGGAAATCACGGCATTCACGACGAAGAAGGGTACACGCAGAAAGAACATCAAGTAGAGAAAGAGAGAGTGGGCGGCCTCCGTTGGATTTTCTCGTCCAGTGACATATTCCCACAATTTCGGATCGGCCAATCCAACGGCGGCCGGACGATATTAAACGCGTGGTGGGATCTGCTGCGAAATGGAATAAAATAAAATGTGTACGTTGTTCGCGCGCGACTAAGCAGGCAAACGCGGAGGCAAAGGGGTATCGGCGAAAGAAAGAGAACGCGGGCATGCGAGAAAAAGATAGAGACGTGAACGCATGCGTACGTGGAAAGGGAAAGAGAAAGAAAATGCTGAGAGAAAGAGATGTGGACAGAGAGAGAGAGAGAGAGAGAAGGAGAGAGAGAGA